ATTAAGAAGAAGGGGGAGGGATTAAGAAGAAGGGCAAGGGATTAGAAGAAGGGGGAGAGGTGCAGGGATTAAGAAGAACAGGGGGTGGGGAGATTAAGAAGAACGGGGGGTTAAGAAGAACAGGGGGAGTAAGAAGAACACAGAGAGGAGGGGGAAGAGTAAGAAGGACACAGGGAGGAGGGGAGAGAAGGGGAGATGAGGAGAACACAGGGAGGGGGAGGTGAGAAGAACACAGGGAGGGTGGGGGAGTGAGAAGAACACAGGGAGGGTGGAGGGAGTGAGTAGAACACATGGGGGGAGGTGAGGAGAACACATGGGGGGGAGTGAGAAGAACACAGGGAGGGAGGGGGCTGAAAAGAATACCGTAGGTTTGGGGGAGGGGGGATGAGAAGAGCACAGGGAGGGTGGGTGGGTGTGAGAAGTGACTGCTAGGGAATGGGGGGGGAGAGACCACTAAGGGGCAGGGGAGAGCTCTATAGGACAGGGGGCAGGACAGGGAGCTCTTTCACACTACGCGCACACACACACAATGCATCCCTACACACACAGAAACACAACATGCTTCCCTTACACACAGAGAAACACACAATGCATCCATTACACACAAAGACAATGCATCATTTGCACACATACACAGAAACACACAATGCAAACCCTTACACACACATGCAAACACACACACTGCTTCTCTTACATATACACAGAAACACAATGTATTTCATACACACACTCAATGCACACACTAAGACGCACACACTAAGACACCTGGGACCCAGACCTTGAGCTGTTTAAGGGGCCCCAAAAAAATGGAGCTGCTTCCCATTCTACTAGAACTTTGAATTTTGTGACCACAGTTACAAACAGCCTTCAGAGATCCTCTTCTACACCAGACCAGTGGAGCCAAACCGCAGCCCATCATCATCCTCATCTGGTTGTAAGTAGGCAATCTAGTATATTATTAGTGACACTAATCTATAATTTACCTCACATTAAAGGGACACTATAGCTTAATGAAGTGGTTCTGGTGTCTATAGCCGGTCCCTGAAGGCTTTTTAATGTAAACACACACTGTGTGCAGCTTTGTTCATATGGCAGATTATATAGGTGGGGCATTGTGGTGTCACATGGGGGGGCAGCTAATTTTTCCTTTGCCTAGGGCAGCAAAAATCCTTGCACCAGCTCTGATCCTGGGCAGGTGCACCAGTCTACTGGTGACCCACAGGAGGGGATTGCACTGCACTCTCCTCCTGCCCAGACCTGTCTTTACGGCAGTGCAAGTGCCCTTTGCCCCTAATTTACAGTGGCTCACACTCACAGCAGTGCCTGGAGCCCTTTGCAGCGATGGGAACTAAGAGGTTCTGCGGCAGGTGGCCTTCCTGCAAGCATTACATTAAACAGCTGTTCCCCATGCAGCCACAGGTGGCGCTGTGCTGGGAGAATGTGATTACTCTTCACTTCCTCCCAGCCTACAGCGCAGCGCATGGGAGAGGGAGAGGAGGAGGCATGATTTAATCTTACAACAAATCCATTAAGCAAATCTTTGGGGGGATCAGCTCTGTTTGCACAGTTTATTGGTGTTTGCTCTGATGTCTGTATTAATATTGAGGGATTTCTAAGTAGTAACATCAGTATGTGTCAGCAGGGCCAGCCGTTGGGGTGTGCAAGCTGTGCGGTCACGCAGGGTGCCATGACATCAGAGGCGCCCGGCGGCCAACACAGCTCACAAGTTGGGGACACCAGCATATTCAATTTAAACGATTCGCTGGTGGTCCACTGGTGCGCACCAGCAGTAGGTGCAGTCAGATTATATCCTCTCCCTCATGGTTCTAGCGCTCAGTTAGTGAGTCAGAGCACAGGCTCAGAGATTCTCAGCCTGCGCTCTGACAACATTGAAAGTCAGAGCCATGAAGGAGCGGGTATGGCAAAGAGCTACTGATTAGCATAACATCAATATCTGTTATAAAACCAGGTGGGCATGGATGGTGAACTGATTTGGTGGTGCAATGGGCCACTTGACTGGTTTTGCCCCCCCAGGCCTAAGGCTGCCAGCCCTCCCCTGCCAACACCTGTCATACTTTTCTAGGCATCTTACTTAACTAAGACATCATGGAAGCTAGACTTCCAACTGAGAAAGTTCAGATAATCATGGCATTACCAACAGTCTGTTCGGGTTCGTACCGAACATTAGTTTTTTTTGGACCCCGGACCCGAACACGGACATATCACTGTATGTTCGGGTTGGAGTTCGGTGTTCGGCGATTTAATGGAGCGTTTTCAAAGGCTGCAGGGCAGCCAATCAACAAGCGTTTGACTTGTGTGTCCTTAGAAGCCATCACAGCCATGCCTACTAATGGCATGGCTGTGATTGGCCAGTGCAGCATGTGACCCAGCCTCTATATATAAACTGGAGTCGCGTAGCGCCGCACACACATGAGGTCTTATTAGTGTAGGGAAAGGATGCTGCCGCTGATAGGGACAGCTTAGGAAATAATTCTGCAAACTAGTACATTAATGGGGTGCACTTCATATCTGAGAGTCAAATAGAAGCGTTAAATACCGCGGTTACATCAGAGTTTTAAAAAGTTTATTTTTTTTTGGGTGCTAAATCGTATATTAGTGGGATAGTACATTAGTGGGGTGCACTTCATATCTGAGAGTCAAATAGAATCGTCAAATACTGCTGTCACATTGCAGTTTTAAAACAAAAATTTTTGGGTGCTAAACTGCTAAATAGTATTTTAGTGGGGTGCACTTCATAGCTGAGTCAAATAGAAGCGTCTAATAGTGTGCTTACAGTGCAGTTGTAAAATTCTAATTTTCTGGGTGCTAATCGGCTAAATAGTACATTTTGGGGCTTGCTCTTCATATCTGAGAGTCAAACAGAAGCGTCAAATAGTGCGCTTACTGGGCAGTTGTAAACATTCTAATTGTTTTGCTGCTAATCTGCTGCTTACATTGGCGTTTTAAAAAGTCAGTTTTTTTCCGAAGAGTAACTTTGATTCGAATTTACTACATTGGTCACTTGTAATATTGTTTTACACCTACAACACTTGTTACACAGATCTAAGTGATAGAAAACAGATTGATATTTTCTACACTAGAAACTACCAGATAACAAGCTGCTATATTTAAACCAGTTATCAACAGCTAAGAGGTACTTAAACAATATTGTAATTCTGGGGCAATACCCTCACAAGTCAAACTGAGAGGTCAGTTTATAGGGAAAACTCTTGCCTGGATATTGATATGAATTCTAAAACAATTTCCATATGTCCTTTGCAGACTTTACATGCAGGAAAAACACAGGTGCCAACTGCTGTGGCTTTTTGCAGTGTGGATACCAGCAAGGAGGGCAGGGTTGAGGAGTGGGTGGAAGATGATGTGGAGGATGATGAGGTCCTAGACCCCACATGGAATCAAGGTCATGCGAGTGACGTTTGCAGTTTGGAGGAAGAGGCACTGGTCTCACAGAGGCACCAGCAGAGCATAAGAGGGAGCAGGGTGCAAAAGAAGAGCGGCCGTCCCCTAGTGCTCGTCGGCATGTATTAGCTTGAGAATTACCAGTTATGCAAGCAATACATGTAGCGATCAAAGGATCCATAATAGAGTTGAGCGAACCCGAACTGCAAAGTTCGGGTTCATACCAGATTTAACGATCCATTCGTAGTTTCACAGTCAGGTGAGTAGTCCGGTGACCAGGACCCAGACACTGTCTGGGCAGCGGTCGGATGACCGGGACCCAGTATACCTGATTTTGAAGTTAGGAGTCAGTGTGGAATGGATTAGCAGTGTCTTGTGCAGGGTAACTGCACGCCCCCTGGTGGTGAGCACCAGCGTTTGTGCGGCCACATACCTGTACCCTGATGCAGCTTCAGTAAAAAGAGTACTGGATACCAGAAGCCATCACCAGACTGATCCGCAACTTGGAACAGTATGTGACATTCACTGTAGCGGCTGTGCGCGCTTTTGGCATTCTCACCCTGCTGCTGCTCGCCTGTCTTCGGCCTTCCCGCTCACCGCCTCATGAGACTGTGCGAGCAGCAGCAGGCGATAGTGGCGTTTCAGCTGCAGCACGCACGGGTCAGTGGCTCTGAACCAGACTTCCCTCCAATTGATCAGAGTTAAAGGATTTCAAGTGGACTCATTACAATTACAGGGCCTCTAAAGAGTCCTGTATTGTTATTTGTCATCACAACCTTTCCGCGTCAGGAGTGGGTCATTTGCGGGCCTGCTGCCATCCTTGCATGTGGTAGCCGTTTCTCAGGGTCCCTGTATGGAATGGAACCCTGATTCCCCGTTACCTGTGGTCACCACGGTAGGCGCAGAAACTCTTATCGAAAGTTGATGAATGACATCCGAATGCAAAGTCGCCGTCACGGGGATGTGTGATTGGCCCGAGGTTCTCTAGAGTCAACAAAGTGCCTGTGCAACTATAATGTCAATAACTACTCTGCGGAACAGAGTTGTCTTTTTTATATGTCCCAATATTTTGTGGGCTACCACAATTAAAAAAAACAAAAACAAAAAAAAAACAGTGTTGGCTACCTCCTCCTCCTCCTCCTCCTCCTCCTCCTCCTCCACCACTGCTTTCACCTACACCGCCACGGTCACCGCCTCCTCAATCTATGGGTCACTTAGTATAAACTATCTACACATTAGCAGAGGCTTGTGAAGGCCTTTTCTCCATGCATTAGAAGTTGAGCATTTCTCCATGCATCAGGACTGCAAGAAATGCACCGCAGGCTGCAAATTTATCTTTTTTTGTATGTCTCAATATTTTGTGGGCTACCACAATTTAAAAACCCCCCATAAAAAACAGTGTTGGCTACCTCATCCTCCTCCTCCATCGCTGCTTCCACCTACACCGCCACAGTCACTGCCTCCTCAACCTGTGGGTCACTTAGTATAAACTATATACACATTAGCAGAGGCTTGTGAAGGCCTTTTCTCCATGCATCAGGAGTTGAGCATTTCTCCATGCATCAGGACTGCAAGAAATGCACCGCAGGCCGCAAATGTTTCTTTTTTTTTATATCTCCCAATATTTTGGGGGCTACCCCCATTAAAAAAAAAAATAAAAAAAATAAACAGTGTTGGCTACCTCATCCTCCTCCTGCACCGCCGCTTCCACCTACTCCGCCACGGTCACCGCCTCCCCAACCTATAGGTCACTTAGTATAAACTATGTACATAATAGCAGAGGCTTGTGAAGGCCTTTTCTCCATGCATCAGGAGTTGAGCTCAGTTTGAACAATGAAAGAGAATACCCTGCACTCCAACCCTCTCTCAAATGGATAATTCTGGTGATCCTCCTGACAGCCATGCTTTAGATTTTGATTTATATTCTTCCAAAGCTAAAATCAAAGATTCCATCTAGTGGTATTTTATGGCTCAGCTGTATTTTAAATTTTTATGTATTTTATGTTATTTTAAGTGATTTCCCTATCCAAATTTGTTTGCAGGGCACCTGTCCTACTCTTACCCCCATTTTACTTCCTTTTGCAGCTCTCTAGCCCTTTCCAGGAGTTTTTTAGAGGCATTTTTGTGCCCAAAAGTTCAGGTCCCCATTGACTTAAATGGGGTTCGGGGTCAAGTTCGAGCCTGAACCCGGACTTTTTTTCAAAGTTCGGCTGAACCCTCTGGACCCAAACATCCAGGTGTCCGCTCAACGCTACTCATGTGTCATTTGGACAGACGCAGCAAGTACAGTTGGCAATGCCACTATATAGGATAATGAGTGGATCCAGGCACACTGGCCCCCTGAGGTGAACAAGTTACTTAATTTTGCAAATTCTTCAGCATTGTTCGACTATTTTTCTGTGTTAGTAGCAGCATGAGTATGGGGTAAATCATGGAAAGGACAAGCAGTTAGGTGCTTAGTTTACAATCAGGCTGCTTGCCATTTTATCAACAAAGGTCGTTCGCACTCATTAGTAAGAAAACTGACCGTGCTGCCAGCTACTCTCCAATTTTATGTCATATTTACTCATATCCATGGAGTTTATAACTTAGCCGCTGATGCTTTGTCCCGCTTTAAATTGCAGGAGTTTTTCAGGTTTCATCTATGACTTGTTCCTGGACTTCCAGGAACTAGTCATGGACTGTGTGTGCTATTATTCCACAGTAACACTCTGGGTTAAGTAGGACTAATTGATAATACCAGGAAAACTTATGATAGAACAGATTTTTGCTGATTTCAAGATAATTAACCCTCTTTTTCCATTGAAACACTGGTTGCCTTCACTACTCTTTACCACATCTATATCTTACCGGATTTCAACATCATATGCTCACTTCATTCCCTAATAACATACCTTAACGTTTCTACTATTCCATTAAAAGTGTCTTAAAAGGTATCAAAAACTTATTGTCACAGGGGGCGGGGCCTGACTGCTGTGGTGATATTAACATAGCCAATTGTGCCTGGAGAGGACTGATTGCCAGCCTCATGCCATGTGACTATGGCCCCTGGGATGTATTGCCTGCTCTCTTGTACTGCTGAGGATTGCTACAAACTAGGTGGATTTGGCTATGGAGCTTGTGTAGTGCCCTCTGTTGGTAACAACAGTAATATGCACTACCTGAATAGCAAGACTGGTAATTTGCATATTTGGGTAGATTTGCATATCGCTAATTATGCATGCAGGAGAGACATTTTGTGTTAATTATGGTCTTCCCCACCCATTTATAAATATGTAACTATGTTCTAATAAGTCACTGTATGTTGCCTGCTATTATTTGACTGTTTGTAATTTTATTGAGTTTTCACAGCAAAGTTAAATGTAATGACCATATGGGCTAGTCCCAAGTAAAATAAAGTTTTAGACAGTTCTTCTTCACCCTCAATATGAGTCTTGTCTCTTATTGGGGGTGAATCTCTTCCTTCCGTAGAGCGAAGCAGGATCAGGAACAAGAGCTCTTACAAGAGCTCAATAGCTAAGGGAGTATGAAGAGCATAGCAATCCCTGTAGTGATTATAGCTGTCCCCTACAAACATGAGTCAAGGCTGCAAGTAAGAGGGTCAAGTCATTCTGTTTATTGGCACACAAAGAACCTTCTTTTATGCAGGTTTTCCTGAGATAGGACCACCCACAGGGTTTTACACAACAACCAATAATAAACGTACATTACAGAAACACTCCCAGCAATTACACACAAAGATCCTCCCATCTGCCTGTGATATAATTATGTTGCACAATGGTTTAACATAATTAACACAGGCAGTAAAAATACAGTTTTTATCCATACACTGTAACTTTAAAACTACACATCCAATCTTCATAAAAGTTACATATTATTAATCAGCACACTTAAAACAAACATAACCAAAAATCAGCCAAATCCATCCAGGGGTTAAAAAGTTAGCTGGAGGTCCCTTTATGACCGACCGCAAGCACATTTTTCTGCCCAAAACAGTTCCATAGATTTGGGCTGTGCGGTCGGTCTATTTCAGGCTGAAAAAATGACTAAGTCCCATCACCGATAGGGACTTAGTCTCTGCAGCTGTAAAACCTGTATGGGAGAAGGTAGAGCTCAGCGGTGTTCGCGGAAATGTGTAGCCGATTTTAGTTCCATGAATTTGGCTACACATACCGCTGACCTCGTTCGAATTAACAAAGATGGCCACCGCCACGTGTTCGGCAAACGAACAAAGGCCACCCAGCATTGTCAATTAAGCTGCGGTTAACCGCAGCTTCTGGGAGGTAAATTGCCTGCACACTTCCACTTCTGGGTGGTCTGCCTGTGTAGTACTGGTTCAGTAAGCCCCATTTACTGAACCAAGTGGGAAATAGCCAGGCACAAAGAGTTTTAACCAGGTCTGGGGACACAGGGGACACCGTCTTAAAGGGGCAGTGTCCCCAACAAGTCTGGGGACACCGTCTTAAAGGGGCAGTGTCCCAATCTTCCTGACGCCCCAAAAAGGTGCTTAAAGGGCCAGCACCAGTCCCATAAAGAGTCCATAAGCCCCAATATGCCCACCGACAGTCTTAAAGGGCCATACACACCAAATAAAAGTGCATACATTTTCACAGTCTCAAAGGGGCCATAGTCATGTGGAAGGAGGCTGGCAAATAGGTTTCTGCACAACCCAGGGAAGCAGGGCAATTTGCCATTTAAAGGGCCAGTTACAAATAGCAGTTTGTAACAGTGCCTAACTGAAGCTCCTGACTAATTTGTGTAAAAAAAGCTACAAAGGCACCTCCAAACCATGTGAAATGGCACACAATGACACCTAGCGACGACCTGGTACTCAGTCCACACGGTGATGCGGCCCGTGAATGCACAATGGACAGCAGGCTATAACCACGGAGACATGCGGCCGGGGGCGTGATGGAGGGGAGCGGCGGCCGAGTTCCCTGCCTGGAGCGGCCTGAGAGCTGATTGCCACGCGTGAGTACCCCACAACTCCCCCCATGGACCGGTGGGGGTGATCCCGGTCCACTACTGGGAGTCCTCCCAGCCATGGCAGACACAGAGAAACCGATCGGAGGGCCAAGAGACTCACCAAAGATGGCGCGACCATGTGGCCTGTGAGCAGCCAGGTGGAACAACAAGCCCCTGTGTCTAGCTTGGAACAAATATTTATACATTTCTGACAGAAGCTTGAATGCAGACTGCGACAGGGAATCCAGCACACACCAAACTTAAGCTTCCCACCATGCCATTCACTGCCCGACCCACAGCAAAAATCGGCAAACCTGTAGAGACCCAAAACTGCGAGAAGGCGGCAGAGAAACAGGCAGGCACCTTACCCACGCAGGGTGATGAAGAGAAGAACACCGCAGAACCTAAACACTCTAAAGCCAGCAATGATATCAGAGGAAGAGGCTCTACCTAGGTTGCAGATTATACACAGTGCCCATCCCAAGCTTAGGAACGAGCAGCAGCAAGAACCCGCAATGAAGGACCTGGCATGGAGGGCAAGCAAACAGCAAAGGCCTCTGACACCCTCAGCAGCACAGAGGTGGGCACCAACAAGGAGCAAACCGCAGCCCTGCATTGAGCTCAACAAGACACAGAGAGCCTTGATTCGGGACACTGAAACGCATGGCCCCTTACCGGTCACTCAAAACCTGGCACACCAGCAGCGACAGGGACTATGCTCTGCTGAAGCAAGGCATAGGGTAAATGGGAGCTATGGAACGGCAGCAACAGAGGGCCCTGTTTTTTTTTACTCTAGCGAGAATCTAAGCAGTTATAAATATAGCATAAGCATAAATGTTTGAACCTCACAGAAAAGCAATGCCATGTATTCAAAATAACCTTAAACGAGACCA